TGTAAGTAGCCTACGTACAAGGTATGACAGCCATCCATGCTTTGGTTTAGTTTCCTGGGCAGTGGCAAGCACTGTTTCCAAATGCTAACGGTCATGATATTAGCATTTTTCGCACATCACGTTCAAATCATCGGTAAGTGACTTTAGTGAGCTTCACAATCAATTTTAGATACTTTCGGATTATTTGGACATGATGCGTGAAAAAGGCTAATATCGGTCCCATGACTTGAATGGGATTGATGCCACAAATGCTAAAACGTTAGTATTTGGAAACAGTGCCAGGGAAACTAAACCAAACCATGGATTGCTGTCATACCTTGTCCATAGACTGCTTACAGAGTAAGGAAACAAATATCTAATTTTGTCATTTGGGTGAACTATCCCTTTAACACTGTCTGGGTCCACACACCTCAGACAGACAGACAAACAAACAGACCGACCAATGGAGGTAAAGTACAGTGAAGTGAGGAACTCACCGGTAGATGGCCGGGTAGGGGGCATCCAGGTACATGTCTTCCAAAGCCCCGCCCCCCCAGCAGAGCAAATAGTGTGCCATGTTGTCCCCAGAGCCACGCCCCTGTCGCACCCAACCACGGCATTCAGCGGTGAGCTAACCCTGGCAGTCAACAGTCGGACCTACTGACCACATCGATCCTCTGCCCACTGTCTAGCCACACGCCCGAAACTGTACTGCTCTCAACCTGAGTCTAGCAGGATCCTCATTGTGCATTTCACAACATCTTCTCTTCCATTTCCCCTCCTTTGTGTCTGGATTCCCTCTCTGCCTTATTTGGCGACCTAATCTGTTGCCTTTACTCTGTTGCTGCCCTCCCCTGCCGTCCCGTCTGCCACTCTCTCTGTAACTCTCTCTCAGTCCTTCCTCCCTATCCAGCTCCCTGTAGCTCTCTCATTCCGAACTTTGAAGTATCCAAGCTGGTGGACACAGTATGTGGTAATAACTTGGCAGGATCTTTGTTGAACTCAAAGTTACACTTGGTCAGTCTCAGTCTTTCACTCTCTCACTGCCCTCTAGCTCTCTTGGTCTGTATCTGTCTGTGTGTGCCTCTCTCTGCGAATCGCTCATCAGCTGGGCTATTTTCCGCTGCTGGAGAAGGTATGCATTTCCTCTCTCCATGGCTGCAAACCCCCCTCCTTTCCCCTAGCTCTTCTCTTCCTCTCTTTGTCTCCCCTTACATTCCCTCTCTCCCACTGATCCCCTTTCTATGTTTCTAACCTACTTTCTGATTTCACATCTCAGTCAGCTCCTATCTCTCTGAAAATACACGTATCAGATTTAAAGCAACAATCAAGGAACAGATAATGTTTCAGTAAACCCAAACAAATATGAATGAAAGCTAATCAAAGTAGCCTACAGCAATGACATCCAGGCTGATGACAACATATCTGTTACTTTATAAATACACTACCGTTCAAAAGTTGTGCACCGGGGCCTCCCACTCCTCTTTCTATTCTGGTTAGAGACAGTTTGCGCTGTTCTGTGAAGGGAGTAGTACACAGCGTTGTACGAGATCTTCAGTTTCTTGGCGATTTCTCGCATGGAATAGCCTTAATTTCTCAGAACAAGAATAGACTGACGAGTTTCAGAAGAAAGTTATTTGTTTCTGCCCATTTTGAGCCTGTAATCGAACCCACAATTGCTGACGCTCCAGATACTCAACTAGTCTCAAGAAAGCCAGTTTTATTGCTTCTTTAATCAGCACAACAGTTTTCAGCTGTGCTAACATAATTGCAAAAGGGTTTTCTAATGATCAATTAGCCTTTTAAAATGATAAACTTGGATTAGCAAACACAACGTGCCATTGGAACACAGGACTGATGGTTTCTGATAATGGGCCTCTGTACGCCTATGTAGATATTCCATTAAAAATCTGCCATTTCCAGCTACAATAGCCATTTCCAGCATTAACAATGTCTACACTGTATTTCTGATTAATTTGATGTTATTTTAATGGACAAATAAAATGATTTTCTTTCGAAAACAAGGACATTTCTAAGTGACCCCAAACTTTTGAACGGTAGTGTACATTGAAGGTATTATGGTTTCTTATGGTTTTACTTATTCATATTTTGAAGACACTGTTGACATGGCTGCTGGCACAAAAAAATAAAGAGTCTAGCCAAACATAAGACTCCCCCCAGACCCCTGAGTCCAACAAATCCGGTCCTAGAACAATGGGTCTCTTGTCTTGGATCAAAAGCCAACTGAGGTAAACTTGATTTTCTCAAAATCAACTTGTAAACCTGGACGGATCGTTAAATCAGCTTTTGATTCGATCAAACTGCCTTTTGTAGTTTGATCAAAAGACTTAAGGAAATCATGGGAGCTATGGTTTGACTTTTTAAAATAGTTGTGTCAGTGGTCCCACTGCTGTTGATACTGTATCCTGTGACTTCATCGTCCAAAACAGTGGTCGATCTCACACTCTCTTTTCAACTTTTTATTTTCTATTTTAGAAAATACCCTGAAATCACATGGTCCTGGAAGGTAATCTGCAGTTGCCAAGGTTACCAAGTACGTCTGGCTGAGCTGCAGATCTGATTGGCTGCTTGACATGAAAGGGGGTGCAACCAAGGAGTCAAGTGGTATTGCAGAAGGGGTTTGACTAACTTTCAGTGAAACCAGTGACGTTAAACACAATACACACATGGACAAGCTCGCTCACTGAACTGGATGGGAAGATACAATGGATATGAGTAGGTCTACACATAGGAGAACATGCACAAGAACACTTGCTCTTTCAATGACATAGACTGACCAGGAGAAAGATATGATCCCTTATTACTGTAAATTGTTAAATCCACTTACAATCAGTGTAGATGAAGGGAAGGAGACAAGTTAAAGAAGGATTTTTAAGCCTTGAGACAATTGAGACATGGATTGTGTGTGGGTGCCATTCAGAGGATGAATGGGCAAGGCAAAATATTCAAGTGCCTTTGAAAGGGATATGGTAGTAGGTGCCAGGCGCACCGGTTTGTGTCAAGAACTGCAACGCTCCTGGGTTTTTCACGCTCAACAGTTTCAATTGTGTATCCAGCCAACTTGACACAACTGTGGGAAGCATTGGAGTCTACATGGGCCAGCCTCCCTGTGGAAGAGCTCAGTGACTTTCAACGTGGCATCGTAATAGGATGCTACCTTTCCAACAATAAAAATATAATAATAATGTATGCACTCACTAACTGTAAGTCGCTCTGGATAAGAGCGTGTGCTAAAAATGACTCAAATGTAAAACCTTAAAAATAAAGTCAGTTCGTCGAATTTCTGCCCTGCCAGAGCTGCCCCAGTCAACTGTAAGTGCTGTAAGAGGGGGGTGTTCCTAATGTTTGGTATATTCATTGTATGTTTTATATAATGTACACGTATGCATATATGAACATTCACTAGTAGGGCCCGAGTACCTACATTTTCTCAGGACCATATTAATAGAATTTGTCTCGTAAACAAAGTTATAATAACTCCATTCTTAGCAGGGTTGATATACTACAACTTGCAATGAAAATTATACCAACTTACTCTACACTCTACTTTAACCAAAGAGGTATCATACCGCTGAGCCTAAACCACAGGACATCAAAGAAGAAGAAGAACACACTCAATCCCTCCATATTACAGAGAGTACTGTACTAACAACTCATTTCTGGATAAACATTCAATAAAAGAAACAGTGGCTCTCTGGCCTCATCTAGTGGTACAACTGAATCTCTGCGGTTGAGTTCCACAGCATTTAAAGTACACTATATATACACAAAAGTATATGGACACCCCTTCAAATTAGTGGATTCGGCTATTTCAGCCACACCCGTTGCTGACAGATGTATAAAATTGAGCACACCGCCATGCAATCTCCATAGACAAACATTGGCAGTAGAATGGCCTTACTGAAGAGCTCAGTGACTTTCAACGTGGCAACGTAATAGGATGCTACCTTTCCAACAAGTCAGTTCGTCGAATTTCTGCCCTGCTAGAGCTGCACCAGTCAACTGTAAGTGCTGTTATTGTGAAGTGGAAACGTCTAAGAGAAAAAACGGGTCAGCCGCGAAGTGATAGTCCACACAAGCTCATAGAACGGGACAGCCGAGTGCTGAAGCGCGTAGCGCGTAAAAATCGTCTGTCCTCGGTTGCAACACTCACTACCGAGTTCCAAACTGCCTCTGGAAGCAACGTCAGCACAATAACTGTTCGTCAGGAGCTTCATGAAATGGGTTTCCATGGCCGAGCAGCCACACACAAGGTTCCAGTGAAGGGAAATCTTAACGCTACACCATACAATGACATTCGAGACGATTCTGTGCTTCCAACTTTGTGGCAACAGTTTGGGGAAGGCCCTTTCCTGTTTCAGCATGACAATGCCCCCGTGCAAAAAGCGAGGTCCACACAGAAATGGTTTGTCGAGATCGGTGTGGAAGAACTTGACTGGCCTGCACAGAGCCCTGACCTCAACCCCAACAAACACCTTTGGGATGAATTGGAACATCGACCGCGAGCCAGGCCTAATCACCCAACATCAGCGCCCGACCTCACTAATGCTCTTGTGGCTGAATGGAAGCCTTCCCAGAAGAGTGAAGACTGTTATAGCAGCAAAGGGGGGACCAACTCCATATTAATGCCCATGATTTTGGAATGAGATGTTTGACGAGCAGCTGTCCACATACTTTTGGTCATGTAGTGTATGTCTACATGGTTAATTTGATCATTTGGTCAGGTCAGTCATATGCTGATCAAAACAGCTATATGCAAAGCAGACACTAACTGTCAATATTGGAAATGCCAGACCAAACATATGCCAGTCACACATTCTTAGGATTATAGGCCCTAAACTCCAGATGTAATCAAAGTCATTTGGAACAGCCATTCCAGGGACAACACATGGCATGAGATTTTAGTGACAGTGGTCGTCTAGCAGCAGTAAAGAGATTTATTACCAATGCAGCATAAGCTGTTTATCATTATGAAACTGCCATGTTTGTGTCACTCACCTGATGAGAGGCAAGTCTAAATTAGACTTAGTTCGCAAGCAGTCTTTCTCCAACCGGGACTTCCCTCCTGAAGTATAATCCTGCTCAGAGGTGCTGCTGAGCCCCTCTCCTGTGGGGTCCAGGGTGTTCTCAGAGCAGGTGGGGTCAGACACACTGGGGAGCTCTGTATGGGCCAGGGGGGCAAAACTCAGCTCGATGATATGACGCGCATTCTCACAAATCTGGCTCTGGATCTCAGGGGTGAGGGTGGGTAGGTCAAAGGTGAATACGGGCGGGCAGCTGGAGGTCAAGAGGTCAACGCTGTCCAGGCTGCTGTAAGAGGTGCCCTTGGCTCGGTGAGACTCCATGATCCTCTCGAAGTGGCGGCTGAAGGAGTCCAGGCTGTCCACTGAGGTCCTGCGAGGGCTGGTCACTGAGATGGGGGACTTCAGGGCTGATTGGGCATCTGATATGTGGTCCAGGGTACAACTACAGGAAGAAACAATGTAGAACGTATTAGGAACAAGTAACACAAGGTATGAGGTGTTAGCGACAGTGCTTGGGTCGCTGTATCTACTATATTCGTGTCTCTATAAATGCTTTACATACCGACTACAGGGTGTGGTGCGTCTGAACTGCAATGAATGTCTCACCCCTTCAGCAGCAGACTGTACACCTGATTATCCTCCTGGGTGGCATGCTGTCTCTTCTTATCCCCCTGCATCCTCACACTGGCCCAGCTCACCACCTCCTCATCCTCCTCCTCCTCCTCCTCCTCCTCCTCCTCCAGCTCATCCTCCTCTCCATCAGTGCGTACTATGGTACTGGCGCTGGAGGCAGAGGTGCCCAGCACGCTGCGGTTACTCCCAAAGGCAGAGTCCACCTCCTCCTGCTCTCGCTCTGCCTCAGCCAATATCACCTCATCTAGATCTGTTTCCCTATAGCATTTCAGGGGCACTGCGTCTAAGTCCGTCTCAGCGTAGTTGATGGCTCGCCGGATGATGCCCGTCTTGGGCGAGAAGCCAACCACAGCGATCGTGAGCGGAGTCACCAACTTCACCACCTGCTGGACATCGTGATAGGGTAAACTCTGACCCTCATCGTCCCACACCCTCCTGTGACCTGTGGGCTTCAGGAGCAGGGAGGAGGGAGGGGTGGGCATGGGAGACTCACTGGGGGTGCCACTAGGGGGGGCTTGAGAGTAGTCTGGGATATCGAAAGAGACAAAGAGAGTATGTAAAAGTGGGTAGGAATAATTTTGAACAAATAGCCTGTTCTAAAAACCATGCAAAAATAGTTTTTTTTTAAGTCCTGTTTTAAAGATCAGTAGTAATTTTTTTGATTGTATTCCATTATGATTGAGTATTGAGAGGACCGACTACGGTAATAACATTACATGTTTTGGTAGCATTTAGTAAAATTACCTGTTCTAAAAACCATGAAAATGTAATAAAATTACCTGTTCTAAATTTATAGATTGTTATTATGATGGTACCGTTTATTGACATTCACTGTTTTGGGGCCTATAACAGACTGTCTGTGATGAGCTGAGTACTGTAACATAACAGGGACTGATGGAAAATGAGTGAGAGATGCAGAGAAGGGATAAAGAAAATGTAATCAAAAGCAAGGGAACAGATTCTCTAAAGTCTAAATACTTAACAGGAAAGTACACATTCAATGAAACACATTAGCCGTGTGTGATGCAGAGATGTCTAAACTCTAAACTATCAATAAAGATAAACAAAGAAAGTGTTTGTGTTGCTAGAGAAGGAAGAGAGTCAGTCAGAGTTTAATAGGGACAGAGCTGATGCCAGGCCATGATGGCGCTAAAGCCAAAGCTAGCCAGAGCTAATTGGATTACAGGAGTATTGTGAAAGTAGCTGCTTGTTTACGAGAAGGGGCTGACGAACTAGGAAGTCTGAACTAGAGGAGGAGGAGTAAGACAGAGGGCAAATGCTGCGTTAATAACCAAGTGGGAAGGTGATACTTTCCATTTGTGAAATTGTAAATACCAGTTGGATGCATTCACATGCTTTGAACTAGTTGGAAAAACGCTGATTGGCTAATGGCCAATAAGCTGCATCAACCATAAACTAAAAGTACAGCTTTCATGCATGTTACAAAACATATACACTGAGTGTACAAAACATTAGGAACACCTTCGTAATATTGAGTTGGACCCCCTTTTGCCCTCAGAACAGCCTGAATTCATCAGGGCATGGACTACAAGGTGTTGAAAGCATTCCACAGGGATGTTGGCCCATGTTGATTCCAATGCTTCCCACAGTTGTGCCAAGTTGGCTTTGGATGGTGGACCATTCTTGATACACATGGGAAACTATTGAGCATGAATAACCCAGCAGCGTTGCAGTTCTTGACACACTCAAACCGGTGCGCCTGGCACCTACTACCATACCCCGCTCAAAGGCACATAAATCTTTTGTCTTGCTCTTTCACCCTCTGAATGGCACACATACACAAGCGATGTCTCAAGGCTTAAAAATCCTTCTTTAACCTGTCGCCTACGCTTCATCATTTAACAGGTGACATCAATAATGGATCTTAGCCTCTGGATTCACCTGGTCAGTCTATGTCATGGAAAGAGCAGGTTTTCTACACTCAGTGTAGATTGCTTTTTATAAATAATGTTTTGCTGTTGCATTTAATGTAACTGCCGAAAATGCTGTTATCAAGGTAATTTCCTTAGTAGGTGACGTCAGAGGTCAGCATGTGGGAGAAGTCAGAGCTCAGGGATGATAGACGAGTTTCCCACTAGTAATTACCAGTTGGAGGGGCATTCAAGTGGATTTTTACCAGTCGTATATGGTAAATACCACCTTCTCACTTGGTTATGAATGCAGCATTAGACCTCCTTCAGGACCACGCACCTTTAGAATCATGGCTGTCCTCTATGGGCTGTCCGAACAGGAACTCCCATTTGGCACGGGCAATCTTCTGGGAGTGCAAGGACGGGCCCAGCACAGAGGAACCGCTGTCCGACTACAACACGACAGACATTCAGAATGATTGAGTAGGTGATACATAAGGTATAATGTACACTTGTAAACGGTCTCACACACACACACACACACACACACACACACACACACACACACACACACACACACACACACCTGCATCCCAGAAGCAGTCTCTTCAGTGTCATTGCTCTTCTGGCTGGACTGGCTGGATGTCTCTGGAGAGAGACAGTCCCTCTCTGGCTGACTGCTCTCCCCCAGACTGCCTGTCACTCCACTGGAGCTTTGGGAAGACCCCAGTGCCCCGCTATGGTCCTGGGTCTCCCCCCTCTGCTCCCTGTTTACCCCATGTTTATACCCCTGATACCCCAACACAGCTGTTCCATCCCTCCTCTGCTGTAGCTCCTCCTTGGTCACCACATACACTTCATCACCATCAGCAGTCAGATTCTCTCTAATGGACTCCTCCCTGTCCGCAACGGACCCATTCTCCCTCCACTGCTGCATCCTGGAGCTCCAGCTCTCTGGTGGCTCCATGTCGAGTCCTATAACCAGGCGCCTGCTGCTCTCCGGGCTGTCCCTCGGACCCCCTCTGTCGAAGCGGGTGTCATACTGTCTCCTCTCCAGGCTGGGGGAGCCCAGGTCTCCCATGTACTGCGGGGGCTGGTGGCGGTGCAGGGTTGGGCTGTCTTTCGTCAGCAGCTCAGCTCTCTGCAGCCGAGGGTCTATGATAGGGGTGTGGGACGCCACCACTAGGTGCAGTGTTGCTGGCATAGCAGGGGAGGAGATATCCTTCTGCTGTAGGAGGGCGGAGGCTTGCCCCGGTTCTTGACCTGGTCTGTACTCTCTGTAGTGGGGTCCAGCTCTAGGAGACTCCTTGTCTGTCCACCTATTGTCCTGTAGGTGTATGTTGGTGTTAGGTTCAGGGTGGGGCTGTGCTGGAGAACCCTGGCCCTGGAGGGTGGCGTAGGGTTGAGACTCCCTGGAGATGTAGCCAGGCTTGGGGCTCTCTGACCTGGTGGAGTCAGCCTGGGACGGGGTGAGGGAGGGAGTCCTCCTGTCCATGAAGATGGTGGACAACTTGGTAGCCTCCTCCGCCAGCTTACAGGCCATGTGAGGGCTAGTGGCCGGGGAGATACTTCTTCTGTCACTCGTCTGGTTCATTCCCTCTCCCATCTTGCTGTCATTTGACTGACCTGACTGTTTGGAGTTGACCTTGTTGGGTAAGCAGGGACTATCGCTAGGAGTGTGGCTGCTGGTGTGGCTGCTAGCCCTCTGGTCGCAAGAGGCTGAAGTGCTGGTAATCATGCTTGCTGGTATTTCATGCTGAATTGCAGTGGGCCTGCCTGCAGGTAAAGGTGGGCGAAACTTGGAGGACAACCTGGGGCTCTCATCCCCAAACTTGGAAGACAACCTGGGGCTCTCATCCCCAAACTTGGAAGACAACCTGGGACTCTCGTCCCCAAACTTGGAAGACAACCTGGGGCTCTCATCCCCAAACTTGGAAGACAACCTGGGACTCTCGTCCCCAAACTTGGAGGACAACCTGGGGCTCTCGTCCCCAAACTTGGAGGACAACCTGGGGCTCTCGTCCCCAAACTTGGAGGACAACCTGGGACTCTCGTCCCCAAACTTGGAGGACAACCTGGGACTCTCGTTCCCAAACTTGGAGGACAACCTGGGACTCTCGTCCCCACATTTTGAGGACAACCTAGGACTCTCGTCCCCTAGCCACAGCCTGTGGTTCTGGACACCATGGTGGCGGCTAACACTGGTAGGGGACATGGTGTAGTTGTAGTAGGACTGCCTGGCTTGAACAGAGAGCTGGTGAGAAGCTGGGCTTCTGGGGAGGCCATTCAAACCACGGTTCCTGTCTGAGTCTATGAGGTGTGCATTGACTGGCAGTGTTTTGGCTCCCCTAGGCAGGTCCGGGGACCCACCACAGGACTGGCAGCGGGGCTGCTGCTGGTAGTGCCAAGGCAGGCTTGGGCTTCTGTCTGGGCTGTAGGCTGCCAGTCTGCGCCTCAGTTCCGGGGAGCCAAATTCCTCCATGGCCCTGTAGGTGGCCTCTCTGGCTACAGTGTCCAGAGTGGCCCTGCGGAGACAAGGGGAGCTCCTGGGGGACCTGCCCGAGGTGGGACAGGACAGTTTGGTGCTGGAGCTACCGGAGGGCTGCCAGCTGTCTGACCACACAGGGTCACTGAGCCTCTTCCTAAGGTGGGCAGGCATATGCCTCTCCTCCATGCCTCTACTGAAAGGGTTCTCAGGTACACTTTGGCACACAGCACTGTGGGGGCTGTCCACAGACTTAATGCTGGCTTTCTCTATGTAGCTAAAGCTGACCACAGAGCACTTGCCCCCGTCCCCCACACCAGAGCCATCATAGGACCTGCGCCCACTGGTTGGAGTCGAGGGGGACATTATTCTCCCAGAGGAGGCAGGGGATAGGGGCACCCTCCCGTGGTAGTGCTCAATATCTGAGGAGCGGCCACGCACCAGAGTGCCATGCTGCGGCCCATTGGGTGCAGGCTGGAGAGTGGAGAGCAGCTGACCAATCCCCTTGTAAGGCAGACTCTGCCTGTGGTGTGTGGGCGGTCCGGAGTTGTCCGGTAGGTCCAGCTGGAAACTGACAGAGTGTCTGGAGGAGGACTTGGAGGTGAGGCTGGGACTGCTGCCCCCATCTTTATGCAACACCCCTGGGGACATGGAGGCTGGGCTGGGGGTGGAGGTAGAGGGGCAAGTGCAGGTACAGCTAGAGGTGGAGGTGGAGTGGCTGGGGGTGCGCTGGGACTGAGGTAGGATGTCAGGCCCTTGGAGCACTAGTGGGTGCATCCCCTCCACACCACCACCCAACTCCTTCCTTTCCCCCTCCTCCTCCGGGACAGACCTCACCTCCACATACAGGTGCAGGATCTTGCCTGATTGAGACATGGTCCCCACACGAGCCTCAGTGGAGGCTTCTGTCCCTTTTATTTTATTTTTTAGTCTTTGATAGTACTAGTGCTCTTATCCTGAACCTCCTTTCTAACCCAAAATTTAACAAAATGGGTCCATTTGGTGAGGGTCAGTAAGCTGGAGGATGATTGGCAGGTCTCTTCTTTTCAGTCTGCCAAAGAGAAAGAAAAAGAGTCAATAATATATTAGGAACATTTAGAAGAAAGACAATAAAACAAACTGACACAGAAGGATATCAGAGACTGTTAATGTATTCAGAATCCATGGCTGAATGTGTGTGTTTTGTTTGTGTGTGTTCACCTAGGTTTGTCTTGGAGGAGCCGAATGCGTGTTATGCTATATAAAGACCTCTGATCCACTTCCATTTGCGTAACCTGAGGTGATTCGGTCTTGCCATTGTCTACCTGAGTCACAGCATTACTCTGTGGTCATGGTGCTTTCCCCTGACCCCCTGGGCGGGTGACTGTAGGCAACACATATCTCGAATAAACAGCTACTCCCAGTCATTTTTGGTGAGGCTCAAGTTTGTTACCTCTGACCCTACTATCATGGTTAGTCGGGTCAGGTCCTGCTGTATCCTTATCAACCAGTCGAGCACAATTGTGCATAGAGAAATGCTGGAGAAAGTGCATGCATAGAGTACTAACGTCTTGTAACTGACTCATCGATTAAAACTCAACATCAACCACAGCACAGTCAACACTTAATACATACATCAAGTTTTTTTTCCACACAACCATTATCATCTCACTATTCCCTGGCTAATTGTTCAAATGCCGACCTAAACAACATTTCCATATCCTAACAGCTATTAGATATGGTAACACAAGGCTGTATCTAGTCTCAGCAGAAGCCAGAGGTAGGCTGTTCTAGAGACACCCTGGTCTACAAAGCAAGGCGTCCTTGGCTGTCAGGCTGACTGGCATGGACTTCCACATGTGCCTTCTATTCCTGCTATTAATAGCCATGGCGAAGCAGCTGGAGTGTCTGTGGAGGTAGGTAAGAGTAGTGTTCTGGTGTTCTCAGCTCTGTTAGGTGTTCTGTATCCTTCTCACAGGCCTGAGGGAGTGAGAGTGAGTCATTTGTTGTTACCAGAGAATCCTCAACTACAGAGAACAGCCTGACCCCTGTCAAAATAGTGCATCAGAAGAGCAAAACCTGAAAATGTCTTGCCAGAAATAGTAATGTATCATAGTATCATAAGTGATGGCTCCTGGCTGTAAACAATTGGTTATCATACAGTACAGGTCTTGCTTGGATGGTTGTATCTGTGATGGACTCCACAAATGTGTCTGATTGCTAGTTGGAAACAACCTGTTAGAGCTCTGTTCAAAGCTATTTTCAAAAGGTGAGGGATCCTTGAACTTGGAGGCTCAGAATGAACCAAAACAAGAGACACAACAGCAGGCAGTTACTGTGGTTACCCAAAACATTCCAAGTTTTTCATTATCAATCCAAATGTCTGTCAAGTTCACACTCACATCATGTCCTCAGTTTAGAATAGCAAGTGTGATATTCCCTCAGTTTGAGTTTGATTACACAGATACCAGAGAGAGGCAACAAATTCTGATATTGAAATTGATATAATGTCTGGTTAAATTCGATAGTGGCTCTGACAGTGTCAACCTCTTAATATTTTCAGTTCTACATCAGAGGTCATGGGCCCACCTTTAGAGGAACTTGTTCTCTCTATGTTGTCTCCACATCGTCTTTACCTTAGTCATGGCAGGACAGTCATTACCATACAAATCATAAGTAGGAGGAGGAAAGCCCCAACCATTGCCACTGCCAGCACACTGCTCTAATATTAGCTCCAACCGGACGCAATGTTGTCAGTCTGATCCTCACACACCACGTACAGACACTCAGAGACACCAATGATTATAGTGTAGCAGGTAGTTACCAAGGCCAGATAATGGTAATTAAGGCAAAGTAATGAATAGTTTGAAAAGATTATTATGCTTTTTTGTCTGGAAATTGGATCACAAAAGATAAACAATAATCTCCCATTTCAGCAGTATCTCACACATCTGTGTATGTAGGCCTCGAAATGCCCTTTGGGCATCTCAGACCCTAAACACACACACAACAGCTGGATGCAGGGGCTGATCATGACTATCCGAGATCCCAGGAAAAGTTGGGTTGTGTAATGACTCTCCTGGGAAAGTGCCAGACATGGTAGAGGGTAGTCACACATGTGCGTCACACACCCACAGATGCACAGTCACTGCAGACACACACTAACACACAGGGAAGGGAGGGATGCTTTCCAGTAGTATATCAGCTATCCTACCCTGGCCTGTACAGTGTCCAACAACCTTTATAAAGAGAAGGGACAAAATCTTTATTAGTGATTCAACACAGCAGCCTCTGGTCTCACACTGTAGAAAATGTAATGAAATGTCAAGATCACAGCATATTATAAATTATACAGAGAGATCCACATTGACACACACACTCATACAAACACGTACTCTAATAGGAGTGTTCTGAGAAGATGTCTGTTATAAATGCATGGCCTTTGTGATTACGAACCTGTTGAATTGACTGCAGTTAGGCTACGTGACCATCTTGCTAATCAAATTCCCCAGCACCATTTACCCTCATCTTTTGGCCTGAGCCTCCCGGTGCACTTTAACTTTTAGCCCTGTACAGTAGGTATCATAAGTATTCACCCCCCTTGGATATTTTTCACATTTTGTTGCGTTACCAAGGGGGATTGAAATATATTTAAATGTATTTCTTTGTGATTGATCTACACAAAATACTCCACAATGTCATAGTGAAAAATCCTGGGGAGAAATATGAACATGCAACCAAATTTAGCAGGGTCATACACTAACCTGAGAACAGAAAGAATAAACCTGTTTCATTGCACCTCTCTGAACAACAGCACAGAGAGGGCTGCATTTCAGGAAAGCAGGTAGGGCCCCCCACAGTGCCAAATACTAAACTACAGAAGGTATCATAAGCATTCACCCGCCTTGGATTTTTTCACATTTTGTTGCATTACAAAGTGGGATTGAAATAGATTGATCTGCACAAAATACTCTATAATGTCAAAGTGAAAAGAAAATTCTACAAATTTTTACAAATTAATTTACAAAATATATAACAAAAATATAGTCGTGGCATAAGTATGTCTTTGTTTAGGCAAGCCTAAATTAATTATAGAGTACAATTTTGCTTAACAAATCACATAATCACATATAAGTTACATGGACTCACTCTGTGTGAAATAATAGGGGTTGACATTATTTTTGAATGACTACCCCTTCTTTCCCCCATACATACTGTACATCTGTAAGGTCCCTCAGTCAAGCACAGATTCAACTAAAAAAGACCAAGGAGCTTTTTGAAAGCCTCATAAAGAACGGCATTGATTTGTAGATGGTAACAATAACCAATCAGACATTTGCAACCCCCCTCAATGTAGCTTTTTTTAAAGGTTGACGACATCTGCTCCTCATTCACTCAGCCTACTGAGTCCACTGGTCCCACTCACACAGAACTACCCTACGCCTTGACATCTTTCTCCCCTTTCTCTCCAGATGAAATCCTGCGACTAGGGATGTCCGGCCTCCCGACAACCTGCCTGCTTGACCATCCCCTCCTCCCTTCTCCAGACCATCTCTGGAGACCTTCTCCCATTCCGCACTTCCCTGACCACTGGCGTCCCCTCTGACTTCAAGATGGCCAGAGTCACTCCCCTCCTCAAGAAACCAACACTCGACCCCTCTGGCCTCAAAATCTACAGACCGGTATCCCTTCTTTCTTTTCTTTCCAAAACACTTGAGCGTGCTGTCTCTGACCAACTCTCTCGTTATCTCTCTCAGAACGATCTTCTTGACCCTAACCAGTCAGGCTTCAAGGCGGCACACTCAACTGAGACCTCTCCGCTCTGCCAAAGCTGACTTGCTCTCCTCTGTTCTCATCCTCCTAGATCTATCCACTGCCTTCGACACCGTGAACCATCAGATCCTCCTCTCCATTCTCTCAGGGTTGGGCATCTCAGGCTCTGCACACTCCTGGATTGCATCCTACCTGCAGGTCGCTCCTACCAGGTGGCGTGGGAGGATCTGTGTCTGCACCATGTGCTCTCACTACTGGTGTCCCCCAGGGCTTGGTTCCAGGCCATCTCCTCTTTTCTCTTTACACCATGTCACTCAGCTCTGTCAAATCCTCACAGGGTCTCTCCCATCATTGCTATGCGGATGACACTCAACTACTCGTCCTTCCCCCCTTCTGACACCCAGGTGGCGACACGGATCTCTGCATGCCTGGCAGATATCTCAGCTTGGATGTCGGCCCACCACTTCAAGCTCAACCTCAACAAAACGGAGCTGCTCTTCGTCCCGGGGAAGGCCTGCCCACTCCTGGACCCCTCCATCACGGTTGACAACTCCACTGTGTCCCCCTCTTAGAGTGCAAAGAACCTTGGCGTGACCCTGGACAACACCTTGTCGTTCTCTGCAAACATCAAAGCAGTGACTCGCTCCTGCAGGTTCATGCTCTACAACATTCGTGGAGTATAACCTTTCTTCACACAGGAAGTGGCGCAGGTCCTAATCCAGACACTTGTCAGCTCCTGTCTAGACTACTGCAACTCTCTGTTGGCTGGGCTCCCCGCTTGTGCCATCAAACCCCTGCAACTTATCCACAATGCCGGAGCCCGCCTGGTTTTCAACCTTTCTAAGTTCTCCCATGTCATCCTGCTTCTCCGCACACTCCACTGGCTTCCAGTAGAAGCTTGCATCATCTTCAAGAACCTGGTGCTTGCCTACGGAGCAGCAAGGGGAACTGCCCCTCCTTACCTTCAGGCTATGCTCAAACCCTACACCGAGCACTCCGTTCCGCCACCTCTGATCTCTTGGCCCTCCCACCCCTATGGGAGGACAGCTCCCGCTCAGCCCAGTCAAAGATCTTATCTATCCTGGCACCCCAATTGTGGAACAAGCTTCCCCCTAAAGTCAGGA